CCTTATGAGACTGCGCAGCACTAGACACCCGACAACAACTCCGCCAAGCAACCGAGCCACGTCCCGCCCTAAGAACCGCACCACGACTCCACCACTGCACATCAGAGAAGCCATCAACCTGAAATCGCGAACCGACGCCTGAATTGGCGAAGACCGTCCATGAAAGTCGAGGGCAAGCTCCATTGTAACGGAGGGGAGAGCGCGAAAAACAAGATGAGGTCCAAGATGCCGAAGGCTGGCGACTGCCGGCTAAGCTCGATTGCTGCTGAGGAAGGCAATCGGGCACAGATCTGAAGATGATGCGGTGGAGATTTGGGAAAAACGAGGCTTTGAGAGATAGAAAAATTTTAGTTGACTTCACATCTTTTCATAATAATAAAGAAAATTTTAGATACTTTTACATAGGTTATATACTATCTAGGTGTTTTAAAATTTTAAACATACATTTTTTTATAAACATAAGCTTTTTATTTTCTTTTATAAAAGAAATTTTATATTGTTTACGATGAACTAATATATCTTAAATTATATCACATGTTACCTTCACATCTTTAATTTATTATAATTATTATTTAATATTACTTATCTTTATATTTAATTAATTATTATTATTTAATATTATTTATCCGCATGCACTAGTTAATTAAGAAAGAGTATAGAGTGATGTGTAAAAAGAGTAAAATTAGTGCAACAAATCCGAGGCCCATAGCCTAAATTGGGCTCTCAATTTAATTTAATTGAATTCGTAAAAGGCACATGTGGCCCAGTGGATGTCCACCGATTATAGTGCGTCATGTCACAGCTTCTCTTTATCTAATGGAATATTTTGTAATCATAATCATTTATGCGCAAATCCATTAGCGTTAAAATCAACAATTTATGACCTACAATTCGGAATAATATATTGCGCAATCAGATTCCTTCATTATTTATTTATTAACAAGTTTTATTTATATCAGTCTACAATTTCGTGCTGATTTCCACCCATTTGAGTTCTATATTTTCATCTTTGTTTTCCTGGTAAGGTCGCCGGCCAACGATTTACCCTCTTCCGGCTTGTGGTCCGAAATGGTTTCACCGGAAAACACGAATTGGCTCTATGACTACGGGTTCGAGGATATCGCTGTACCCGATGGCAGTTTCTGCGCTCCTAATTCAGGGGTTGCTTGGCCCGTGCTGGCCTTGAACGCCACATCGAATGCCTCCAGGTAATATCTTCACTTTTGTTTTACTGCGTTTTCTGGAATCTTAGTTATTTTAGTTGTAATTTTTTGTTTACTTTGTTTAATTGAGCTTTTGATGACTTCTTTCCCTTTCCATATTTGTTTCTTGGTAATCGGATGTGGTGCTTAACATTTTACGGATTTCTGTATCCTTGAAGTACGATTTGTTAGGTTTCCCTAGTCCTTTTGTTTGATGTGTTTCTTCATACTACATTTTATTTTATTTTTTAAAATCACTTCTCTTTGTATTATCACTGCGCCTGCATACATAATAAGTTGGTATTTAACTATTTATATTATGCCGGTTCCTGAATAGTTTTAGAGCTATCCCCAAATTCTTGCTAATTGCTTAAATTGAAAGCCCTCTCTCGACTTTGGATACCGCGACCATAATAATACAGAATTGCTTAGGATATTACAACAAATGGGTTTTAGGGAACCTAGTTAAAGAAACTAATTTTATTACTGGTATAATGTTTTCCCAAATTGTTGTGTGAAGTGAGCTCGTGACTCTTGTCTCTGTGGATTTTGGTTGTCCTGCATTCTATTCTTTCAGAAAGGCTATATTTATTAGGTTCATTATGGAATGGAATTAGAGACTTCTCATGATTATGAGGACTGTTTATTTTTCTGTTTGACATTTGTTATATATATATATATATATATATTAGGATGTTGTAAATCGTAGTACTTTTAGTTGGATCCTATCCAGGAGGCACTCAGCTGTTGAAGTTACATCCTCTCTGCATGTTTAGGACTGTATGAAATTCAAATGCTATAAGTTTTTGGCTTTGCTATATATGATTTAGGTTTTGCTGAAGGAATATAATTTGGAGATGATTTGAGGATGCTCATCTGTTTCCATATGATAGGTTATGGTGTTTGAAATATTCACGAACATTGATGGGAGATTTAGATTGTAGATATCACTATTAATATGACCTAACCAGGGTCTCTTATCATATGCGTGGGCGACTGTATATCTTGCCTTTCAAGACGAGTATATGACAGCATTTAATTTGTCCTGATTTTCATTAGCTAAATCGGGGTAGGTTTCTAATTAGGATATTCATGGTGTAGTCCCAATATAACATTGCTCCATATTCTTGATTTTATCAGTAAGTACATGTTCAGCTCGACTGTGTTGGTAGTCTCTATACTGGTAAAACTGAGCGAAAATAAGGTACATTTGAGGTACTTGTCAGCTATAGGGGATACCTGAAGAGCTTATAGCTGTATTGGTTACCATTTCCTCTGATATTGTAATGAAAGATTGCGGTGACCTGCTCTACTTTTATTTATCTTTGACAAAAGTCTAAGTGCTTTATTGATATCATCTGCTCTATCCTTGTTTGTTCCACTCAATTAAAGTCAATGTGAGCATTCATTCGTGTTATTATGGATTTTTTGTCTACTCATAGTGTTGCAGTTGATGGATCATTTGGAGAACCAGATGTTCCCAAGGAAGCTGGGACAAAGAAGCGGTAACACCACCCTCCCTAATCACACATATAATTCCATAAAGGACCGAGAAAGGAAAATGAAATTAAATTAACTGGATGTATAGTGTTATTCTTTGATTCTCTCAAACTTATTATACACTTGCAGTTCTAGGACTGAATCTTTTGCTGCACCATCCAGTTCCAAAGCATGCAGAGAGAAACTACGAAGGGACAGGCTAAATGACAAGTATAAATCTGCACTATCATGTTGCTGGTTTTCCCTTTACCTCTACCTCTTACAATTGCTTTGTCCTGTTGTTAGGTTTATAGAGTTGGGTGCTCTTCTTGAGGCAGGGAGACCTCCCAAGACAGATAAAGCTGCTATTTTGGTGGATGCTGTTCGTATGGTGACTCAACTAAGAGGTGAAGCTCAGAAGCTGAAAGACTCGAATTCAAATCTCCAGGAGAAGATTAAGGAGCTGAAAGTAAGTTTCGTAATTTCCTCATGTTATTTTAGCCATAAGTAACTGAGATTTACTTAAACAAGGCACTTCTAACTTTGCTAATCTGAAGCACCTCCAAGTGTTAAAGGCTGCTATAGATACATGAACGAGGAGCAATTCATATGTGAACCAAACCAAAAAAAAAATAAAAAAAATCAAACATTTTCAGCTGGCATTACAAAAAAATAAATAGCAAGAAAAGTAATTATGTGATAGATAACTTGGATTTGATTTAACCAAGTGCTGAATTATGATCTGGAATTTGAGGGTTACAACTTCTGAATGGATGAACACAAATTTAGATAGAGGACCTGTCAACATGCACAGTGCACGTTTTATTTAAATGTTCTGCTTTGGTCCATGGAAACTTCATTGGGTCATTGTGACTTTTAAGATGAGTGTGAGGGTGTATGAATGCCTATACCTTACCTTGGCTAGTTTTTCACTTTTATTATCTATCTCTTAAGAAGTTATATTTATTTATGTACTTATTTTTCAGTTGCTAAATTTGTGCTTTCATAATATGTGCAGGCTGAGAAGAATGAGCTTCGTGATGAGAAGCAAAGGTTAAAAGTGGAGAAGGAGAATCTCGAGAAGCAGCTGAAGACAATGAATGTCATGCAGCCAGGCTTTTTAGCGGGCCCTCCACCCATTTCACCCATTCCAGCTGCATTTGCCCCACAAGGCCAAGCTGCCGGCAACAAACTGGTGCCAATTATCAGCTACCCAGGCGTCGCCATGTGGCAGTTCATGCCGCCAGCGGCTGTTGATACGTCTCAGGACCATGTGCTGCGCCCACCGGTAGCCTAATGGTATTGGCTGCTAGATCATGTGATTGTGGTTTAATTGTTAAATAATGTACTCTGCTGTAATACATTTTGCTCAACTGTCTATCTAACTTGGATATATCTATCTGGTGAATTGTGTTGACCTTCAGTCATTGTTGAAGTTCAAATATAGTATTTACTATTTAGTTTATGGTAGTTCTTGCCTTTAGTCAAACACTTACAAATATTCAGGCCAATCATATAGTTAAACTTCATGATTGTATGATCGTTATAAGGTATTTCTACCAACGGTACATGAATATATATTTTTTACTCTCTCTTCATATAGACATTGACACTTCCCCACGGAGGCGTTATCCCATGCAGGGGCGGAGCCACCCATGGGCTAGGGTGGGCTCCAGCCACAGGTAAATATAAAAAAAAAATTTATTTACATTTAGATCTAAAAACTAGGTAGTCCCATGTATTTTTGTAGTAGTCCATTTATTTGAATTTGCCCAACAACATTAGTCAAAAAATATTGGCAAAAATACACATCCACGTGTTAAACCCACAGCAAGACCAATTAAACGAGATTGAAGTTTTAAACGCAGATTTGAGGCCGCATAAAAGTTAATGTCCAAAATTACGAAACTAAAACAGAAGGAAAGAAAATCGCTGCTCAGCTGATTCTCACCGAAATCAGCTCGCGATTTTTTGGAATAAAAGAGATGCAACTAATAAGGAAGATTCCAAAACAGAAAAAATCACCTCTCTGGTATGGAAATGCGGAAATCGTGTCGAGAGGGAGTTTTCTGAATCTCGAGCTCGCAAACACTGTCATTCAAATCTCAAGTCAACATCGATCTGGGAGATTAAAGGTATATTTCGAATATTTTTCGTCTGATTTGAGGTAGCCAATGCTTTTTTCGTTGAACAGAATCTAAAAACAGGAATTCGATTTCATCAGATTGAATGTGTATTTTTTTTAGCCAATCCGTTTTTTTTTTTTTTTTTTTTTTTACTAATTGAGGTTTTTTGTGTGGTAGTTTGCAGCAAAATGTCTCCAATTATGGTGTTTTTGCACTACAATGGGGAGTGGTGTAACAACACTTACATTGATTTCGAAGTTGGTGGAATTTCGGTGAATCAGACTACTTGTTTCAGAGATTTCACAAAGCAAGTTGGAGATCTACTAAAGATAAACCAAATGGAATCAATATTGAGTTTTAAGTATCAGGTACGAGATGGATATCCAGCAATTAAAATTGATGATGATCAAAGCC